ACCGCTCTTTCAAGGCTCCTACACCAGTTAAACCTTTCACTTTGAAGCTCTGAAGCAGTCTAGCAGGCCTCTCAGATTAAAAAAGGCTTCCTGTCAGTAGGTAGGTAAATATCTATTTTACACTAGGAATCACCTCCAGCATTGAACAACATCTCTTTGCTTAATACAAGTTTTGCCTCTGACTTGGGTGGCCATGGCTACCTGGCCACCTTTCAGGGCAGGCACCTTTCACTGGGCCTCACATTCTGTATTAGTACATACATTAAAACCAGACATGGTGCAGCTATCTGAACAGACTAATATAATTGTATGTAGCTAATTACTAGCCTTTGATTGGGACCAGATGTGACAGTAATTATCTGCTTGGAGGAGGAGGGAGGCAATGGTTTTGGGATGAGCCATCCCCACTTTTCTCCTCTTAGACACACCACGACATAGTCTATTCCATCAGGGCAGCGGTGCGCATATTGTCAGTATTAGGCAATGTTCTTCCCTTGTATCAAGTCTTCTGTATCTTTGAAGCATAGCCTGAACCAACAGACTTCCTTATATCTAAAACCTCTAATAGATTTTTTTTCTCCTGGAACAAATTAGAAACCATTCCAGAAGATGTTCAGGGAAAACCTAAAACAGCAGCATGCTTTTTTTTTTTTCCTTGTATAAATACATTCTCTTTCTTGCTGGTGTTATTTCAAATATCTGCAATTGTATAAGAGATTTCTTCTTCACAGTCCCTTTTTGCTTTGCACCTGCAGTTCATTACATTGCAGTCTTGTATTTGTGACGCTATCGTCTATTGCTATGGAAATGAACATAATTCCACAATTATGCTCATATCTTTAGATCCCTGCTCTTTAGAGAAGTTCATTATGAAATACCAACTTCTGTATTTAGAACTTTTATGGAACAATTTTGGGGAAAGAATGGTTGAAAATGTACACAGCTTTAGGTAGTTTTAGTAATGTGACAGAAGCACGAAAGATGTTGGTGCAGAAGGGGCTGCCTTCCTGTGCTGGGCTGACCCAGCCAGCAACTAAGCACCCACCAGCCACTGGCTCAACCCAGCCATCCCCCAGCAGGATGAGGGAAAGGATCAGAAGAGCGAGCATGAGAAAAACTCATTGGTCAAGATAAAGGCAGTTTAAGAAGTGAAGGGAATCAAAAGAGAAAAAAAACGAGCAATGCAAAAGCCATCACTCACACCGTCCCACCAGCAGACTGATGCCCAGACAGTCTCTGAGCAGCGGCCACCTTGGAAAGACCAAATCCCCGGTTTTTATTGCTGAGCATGATGTCGTATGGTAGGGAATACCCCTTTGGTCAGTTGGGGTCAGCTGTCCTGGCTGTGTCTCCTCCCAGGCTTTTGCCCACCGCCAGCCTACTGGCTGAGGGGGAAGCAGAGTGAGGAGCAGAGGAAGCCTTGATGCTGTGCAACCACCCTCCAGCAACAGCCAAAACACTGCTGTGTTACCAGCACTGTTTCAGCCAGAAATGTGAAACACAGCTCCATACGGGCTGCTATGAAGAAAGTTAACTCCATCCCAGCCAGCCCCAGTACACTTCCCAAAGGAATGGGTATTTTAAGCTCATGGAAAGTTCCCTTTCCATAAAAGTGTTTCTCTGAGGAAGACTGCTATTGTAGTGTGTTTGATTTCGGCTATAAGACTGGTGGTACCAGTCAGATCAGGGCTTTATTGAGTTGTTTTTTTACCCAGTAATCATAAAATATGGTTTAGCTTCTTCGTAACCCTTCAAGTTTTTTCCTCTGTTTAGACATGGGAGAGAACTCTCTGTATCTATGTCTTTGCCCCAATGCCACTGACAAAACTTCTGCTGATCTTCCTGCATTGGCTTGTTTCTGTCATGGATACTTTTCTCCTTTCGAGAAACCTGACATAAGAAGCATATTTAGATGTCTCTGAGGATCATTTTTCAGTGTAATACATCCTGGCAGATCTCTGTAAGGTGTCTCTGAAACTTCACCTTTAAGCCTTTGCTCTATTATTCTGTATTCCTTTAATCACTGCAAGTTTCTAAGAGTATGCTATTCTTGGTTGAGATTTTTTATAAATATCATACAGCCATATATAATTGCTTATGTATATTTCTTTTTAAGATGCCAGTGATCAAAGAGAAGACATTTACATTGGAAACCACATACCTTGCTCAGAAAGCTTCAATGGCTACTGTATACATGGAAAATGTGAATTCATTTATTCCACTCAGAAGGCTTCCTGCCGGTAAGTCCTGCATGCCTCCAAAATGTGCTTGAACTTGCTGTAAAGCTTAATCAAAATGCTCTCTAGACATAATTACAGTATATATCAGTTTGCAGTTACCTAAGCTGCGGCGCAGGAGCCAGTACGCTATCCCTATGCTGTGGGCAGCGCCCAGCTGCTCCAGTCATGCTCAGAGGAGAGGTTCGGTCAGTCAGGTAGTTCGGAAGCTGAATCCTTCTGAAGACTGTGGCCTCACTGTTGTCTCCTTCTTTTCAGCTGCTAAATCCTATCTAGAGGAAAAATATCCACAAAAAACTGCCTTTGCCTCGCATGGCTTCTCCGTATGACTGCTCTTTCCCCATTGACCTCTCAGTCTGTTCTTATGCTATCTATATATTTTATTGCTCTTGTCATAAACTCTCTCTAGAGTATTAATATCTTATTTTTAACATGCACTGCCCTTTTTCACTATAATAGGCTTCATCTAGAGAGTATAAAATTGCAAAATATTCTTTAGCCCACATTTTTTGTCTATGGTATAATCTAGCAGCTCAATACACTCAGTATTCAGCCACTCAGTGTTTCCCAGGAAATCTGAATGTTCCATTTTATTTCCTTACCTACCAGGTAATTTTTTCTTTACATTTCACCAACTAAATTCTGCCTCTTCATTTTCTTTAGAAAATAAAATTAATTTAAAAAGTTGTTTATAGAAAAAGGCCACTTCTTAATAACATGGAGTGCCCTAATTATTAGGACGTTTCACTCCTGAAATTTTATCTTGCAGGCTTGTACATTTCAGATTAATGTGGTTGAAGATGCTATAACTCTTTGCTTTCCTTTGCTTTCGAAACTTCAGCTGTAAATCCATTAGATACTATCACATTTTCTCACTTGATCTTTATTGATCGAGGATATTTAGGGGTTTTTCCACTGCCAAGATTTAAGGGTTTCCAGGCTGATGAGGGAGCAGGAGGCCCAAAAGGCAGAGCCAGCATGGTTGTTGACTTAAGCATTTGAAAGCTTATATTATTCCTTTTCCCATCCGAGACCCTTTCTTGTTTATTTTCACCTTTCCAGTAGGACTTACTTGTTTTTCTCTTTTCTTTGGCCAGAACTAAGACAGCTCAACATGGCTTTGCTTCTCTTGGGAAACTGGGCGCATCCCCAATGTCATCTTGGTGGGCATTAGGCAGCACTATTTGATTAGTCTTCTTTTGATCTAGAGCTGTGTTTAACACAATTGCTGATGGATTTGTCCTCAAAATATTCAAAGTAGAGGTATTTCAAGGAAAACATTCCTGGCTGAATGAACTAATTTTTTTATTTCAGAATTTTTTTCTGGATGGCACTAATCATATAGTCATTTATTCATTTATGATTCAATTACTATTAGATCATTTAAATATTTATTATTACTCTAATAATTACTGATAGACAATGTTTTGATGAATTTAATTAATCTACCATCCCTTTAAATTCTATTTTATAATTACATTTACTATTACTGCCCTCAATTATTTATTTAAACAGCCTGAACAGTATCTCAGCACTGGACCCAGCACAGCAAACCTCATGTGGTTCCAGTCAAGAATTTCTGACTGTCAGTTCTTAACCCTAAGTGTCAGATCTCCTTTGGATTTTTCTTGGATATTTAAATACTGATGGTCTCATACTTCATGCATGTTTTCTGCTGGAGCAGAGTTATTATGGAAACAAATTATTTATATCAGACCGCAATCTGCCGTAGTAATTGTGTACCTTTACCAAAGAAAAATATTCTCTCTTTCTCTGGCAAGGAAAATATAATGATGAATGCCAGGGGTGGATTTTTGTTTTCAAATGCTTTGCATTCTCATAGACATCTAGTATATACATTGTTTAATTTGGTCCTCGTTTCCCGGTAGTGATATATGTGAGGTATCAAGAGGACCTGCAAAACTGCAGAAAGTACCTGCGCAGGGCAAATTCTGACTTTCATTTTCAGTGGGGGCAATGAATCTCCTTGCTTAGTGTACAGCAGCCCTCCAGGACTGCTGGCAGGCAGGTGGGAGGAAAGTTTTGTAGTAGTCAATTGCATAATATTTAGCGTAGCAGCCTTTGCACAGCTGGGATCTGGTCAGTCTCCTGCTGCCCGCCTCGTGCAGCGCAGTTCTGCCCTGTCCTTATGGCAGGCTGCATCAAGGAGGCACGGCTCAACCCTTTGCAAAGAAACCTAAGCTGCTTTGCGCTAGCTCAATTAATTGATTGGTCAGCATATTTTGATAAATCCATGCTGACCTCTATCTTGCTATTATATTAATGCTATATTATCTTGCTGTATATTAATGCAGCAGAATGCTCCAAAATCTGTTCTACTAGTTTAAGGTAGCTTAAACTAGTGCCTAGTACTTCATCTCACCACCAGTATAGTTCTTAACCCAAGCACTTCTTCTTTGCAGGAATTCAATACTTCTGAATCTACAGTCAATATTTCTCAGAAATAATTTCCTGTCACTTTGGTGTTTCTGAGGAAACATCTTTGAATTACTTGTGCCTCCTCTGCTTTAACGCAATTCTCACATTGATCACACTTTGACTGTTACCTTCTTTAATGAAAACAAAAGCAAAGTAACAAATAATAATTCAGCCCTCCTCACCAGCAAGGAGTCCTCTTTCTTATTCTTTCTGTATGACTACCAACATGTTCCCCATCCTCTTCCTTCTTGTATGCTAATACGTGTTTCTCTTGATTTCCTTCCTAGCCTTTAGTGAGCTTACTTACAGTCCCTGGGGGCTTTTCTTTAACAACTCTGCTCTTACTGGAACTTGTTTCATGCCTCAACCAAAACTCCTTACAGAGCAGCTCATGGCTGGAGAAAGTAGAGTCACAAGATTATGAACATGTAAACCCCAGCCATTAGCCCTGCATGCAAAGGCGGATTAGGAGTTGCATTAGCAGTTGTAGGAAGGTCTGTGGAGTAATTATTTCACTCCTCCAAACAGAATTAATTCTGACCCTAGCACAAAGCTTTTGGATGGATGAGACTGATTCTGTGTTGTGTTCAGGCTTATCTGATCCAGTTTTCAAAATGATTGTTTCTCTGCCTGTGTGTAAGTAATTCTTCTCCAGTTTTCCACTATAGAGCTGGGGACCAATTGTATGATTCAGTTGCCCTTAATGATGCATTCGCATCAGTTGCTTTTAAAGGATAGCTGTACAAGGAACTTGTTCAGGGATGTAAGTGGTGGCCTTTGATTCCGGAGTGTCTTGGGTGGCTCTTGCCTTTCCTTGTGGTGCTTCAGACTCTTTTGCCTTGCAACGTGAATTCCTCCGGAGCGTGTTTCCACTGCCACTTTCACCGCTGGCACATCTTGCGTTCCCTGAACACATCACTGATGAGGAGCAGCCGCTGATGAGTTTCTCATTGAGCTAACTGCTGCTTTGCTTGGCCAAGATACCTTTTAGAGCAGCCACTTCTCTTCTGTCTCCAGCCATTTCTCCCCACCCCTGGCCAATTTTTATGGATTATTCCATGACCTCTCACTTGAACAGTTGTGGACCATTGGGTTTTCTAACCCGACCTCCAGAAAATTTTGGTTTGGTGACAAAGCAGGAGGGGGTCTTGTCCAATAGTTTTTCCAGGATTCCACTTCTGTAGGCTGCAGCTTGAAAAGAGATCTTCCTTTTCCCCCATTTTTCAAGGTTTCTCTTCCTCTTTGTCACTTCTCTCCCATAGTGACATTGCAGCTGAATGAGCATGCTCATTTTGTGTTTCATGAGCATGCTTCTTTACGTTTCATTTAGCCTTGTCTACTCGTTTCACGTAGTTGCTTTATTCTTCCTAAATATTGCCCCAATGTAATAACGACCCCACATATTTCTTTTGCCAAATCAGGGCCTTCACCACGCTGGTATGTTTTCAGAGAGCCACTAGTAACCTTATCCAGGAAAGCAGATCATATCTGCTCTGTCTCTTCTCTCGCCGTAGAAATCCAAACCATTCCCCAACCCAAGCGCTACCACATCTCCACCTTCTCACCAGCTCTTTCACAGCTGGAGTCACCTTGGACTCCTTACTTTGTCTGCAAAATGACTGGGCTGTTGTCAAATTACAGATTCCATGAAATATTTGTTTTCTTTTTCAGGTGTGAATCAGGATATACTGGACAGCACTGTGAAAAGACAGACTTTAGTATTCTTTATGTTGTCCCAAGTAGACAAAAGCTTACACATGTCCTTATTGCAGCAATAATTGGAGCTGTACAGATTGCCATTATAGTTGCAATTGTCATGTGCATAACAAGGTAGGTAAAGACAAAAAGAGTGAAAAATCACACATTGTATGGATATGCTTTTTCTGTATTTAAATATTTGACCCCCAAATGTTATGTGCTTTAACATGTATCCTAAAATACCCATATAAAAAACACCTAAGGACTGAAGCGGAAGGATTATGTAGCATCCTATTGCCTTTTTTTTTTTTTTTTTGTGACGAAACACACGATTGTTTAAATTCACAAACCACCAGTAACCACTCTGAAGCCCCAGACCAAATACCCAGCAGAACAGGTCAGCCTTGAAACACATCCCAAAGGTCAGCTACTGTGTTAGACCTTCACTGGAGTTATTCAAGCATTGCTGATATCTTATAGAAGCTATGATCCCCTCCCCCCGCCCCGCCCAGTGAAACCAGAGAGGTTGACAAGATGCTGTTCCGTGCAGTACCACTGTAAATGGTGTTACACAGAGAAAGAAGTATCCCTCACACCATATATGCTTTCTGAAAATTAATGTGCAGCTAGTCCCATTATTAGGTACTCTCCATGGGAACCTATTTTATGAAATGTAAAGATGCACAAGCACAGAGTTCAAGTTTCTGAGTTGTCTCAGCCTGTCGCCCTGTATGAAAACTGAGATGAGAGCCATGGATTCTTTTTGATGACAAGGGATTCAGTTTGCTCATCAAAGACTTGAACCCAACGAGGACTGAGGGCTCTGGGATAGATTAAGGATGACTTAGTTAACTTATAGGTGCATGAAACATTTAAGTCCTGCACTTGGGCATCCATGCCACACTTTGCCTTTTCCTCCTCAACTCATCCTTCACTTTTTCGGCTCCAGTAACACTGGGCCATAAAACTTTATGCTACTGCGTTAGTGCATGGCTTCCCAAACTCAGTGATGTAGAGTGACACCCCTATGAACGAACAACATAGGCCTCCTTCCCTATCTCTCTTGTAAGGTTCAACATAGGAGGTATAAGTACCCATACCTAACACCTCCTGCACATGTAAAAGAGTTATTTGGCTCATGCAATTGATGCCATCCCTTTTTTTACTCAACACCCTGCTGGCCAAAACAGTGGTGTGGAAGGCTGTGGTTCCGCAGCCCTAGTTCCCCAGCTCACAGTCTGTCTCGCTGTGTCCCTGCAGGACTGCTCCATCGTGCATTGCCCGCTGTCTGAGGGGCTGAGTAAGTCCCGTCCTGTTCAGAATTGCTGGCTTCTGAGAATCCTTTCTTAGTTGTGTGCCCATCCCCAAGAAAGGGATCACCTGAGTCACCCCACAGAGAGTCCTGGGTGGGCTCTGTCTCGGGGGCTGCTGTGAGCAGCAGGGCACCTGGAGGTCCAGCACTTCAAAAGGCTGATTGATCCAGTCTTACCACCCACTGGATTTTAAGTATGAAATATCTGTAAAGTAAAGCCAATGCAATTATTCACCATGGTACGTGTTTTGCTGGATCAAAGCTGAAGGACATGGCACCTTGCTGGTTTCGGTCTCAGGTTCCAGCAGAACTCCCTTCTGAGTGGTCTGGGGTCCCACGGACATCCCCAGGTGACAGTCTGGTACCAAACAGCAGGAGCGTCACCCCAGTCAGCACAGCTCATAGACTCCTTGCTATTGTTAAGTACAGAAAATTAAGTCAACGTGTTATTGCTGGGCTTACTTTTAAGAGGCATATATAAAATCAGACCTCCTTTTTCTTTCTCTCTCTTTTTTTAACAGAAAATGCCCCAAAAACAATAGAGGACGTCGGCAGAAGCAAAACCTAGGCCATTTTACTTCAGATACATCATCCAGAATGGTTTAACTTAGTGATTTTTATACCTACGTTGACCATGTGATGTACATTTTTATTATATCTTTTTTTAAAGAATGGAAATATTTATTTCAGAGGCCTTATTTTTGAACATTTTTAGTGTAATAATGTTGGTCTGTATTCTGAAAGCATCAGCTCTAACAGCTATGGACTGTTTTAGTATCTTTACTTTTATGTTTTTGAATACAGTAGTTAATTTTCTGTATCTGTATCACATGGTTATATAACAGACTTGTGCTTTATCCATGGAATGTAATATTTTTGGGAACACAGATTTATTCCACCAATGGTTGTAGATTAAAAAAAACCCCAACAAACCAACAAAGTCCACATTACCTAGCAAACAAGGCATGAACTAAAGGTAAAAATGTTTACAGCTTACTTTTCTTATGAGAAACTAGAAAACACTGTGTTTAAATACCGTAGATATTTAAATGTTTTTGGAAGTTAGTAACTGATTTTTTAGACACTGCCTATCGCATGAACTGTGAAGCTGTGTGCTGTGTGTAGTTGTAACATATTTATAAAATGTGTGGGCTGGGTCTAAGCACTGCCATCTTCATAAATAATTCCAACAATTTATTTTTAAAGAGGAAAATTATAAATTTCGTAATCTGGGAAGTTACCTGGTAGAGCAGATGGCACAGGTCCAAAAGAAGTAGGTCTTAGTAGATATAGGTATTGTAAAAATTGGTGTTGAATAACTGAACACAAATAATTGGAATAAAGCCTACTTTATCACTGTTAAAGCTGTTTTAATACTTCTTAAACTTTTTTAAAGAAAATACATGTTTTAACACCTACAATACGGATTGTATAGTGTTTGTGATTAAAAATAAAAAAATAATAAAAGTGAATTAATTACTAGTGCTCTTGTATAGAGTATTTTCAAGAGCTAAAGAAGTTCATCCAAATTAGTCTGCTGGTCATAGTTATATTAATAGACTGTTAGTTGTCGTTTGAAAGATCCCGAGATAAAGTGTGAATAGGATGTGTTCAGCTGTTTTAACATGTAGTTTAGGCTTTCAAAATTTTGCATGTAGGATTTAATAATTTGTTCAATAAAAAAAAATGCTTTCAACATTTTGAACTGGAAAAGCATGTCACAATACAACGTTTTCACTATATTGCCTCTGGTTTAGTGTGTTTATTTGTTACCCCATGTGGTAATTGCAGCAAGCTGAAGACCCGAAGTTGTTTTGCTGGAAAAAACAACCACGTTAATTTTCCTGACCGCTCTTTGAATTCCCTCGGAGGAAAGCACTCCAATAACACAAAACCAAAAGTAGATCGTTAAAAATATGCAAGTTTGCTTTCCTGCTTAATTAGTAAGTTACTTAACTTTCCTGGATTAACGCTAATAACTTCATCAGTACAGAAGCGTGACCCTTTAAACGTTGTTCCTTTCCAGACATTGCTTCCTAATTTTAGGGGTTTCATGTTGCTGAAAGTATCCGAACAATCATGTGTGGATATTTTGTAGTCAGAAGTATTTGACCAAGCTCCAGGAGTGGCGTTTCACGCCCTACTTTGAGCATCGCCGGAGCCAGCTGTCACCCTGGCTCCCCGCAGCAGCGCCAGAATCGTTCTGGCAGGATCGCCGAAACTTCACCTCCTGCCGACCCAGCCGAAGGCAGGCAAAATGGATCGCCGTGAAACCACCTCGGAGGCTGACAAAACCCACCAAAATCGTCTCTCCAGTGTCACCGAGGAGGAGGAAGACCAAGATGCAGCTTACACGATCGTGACGGTCCTGGACAAAGTGGCCAATATTGTGGACAGCGTGCAGGCGAGCCAGAAAAGGATAGAGGAGAGACACAGAGAGATGGAAAACGCCATCAAGACTATACAGATTGACATTTTAAAGCTCGCCCAGGCTCACGGCAATACGGGCTACACGGTGAACAAGTTACTGGAGAAAACCCGCAAAGTCAGCTCCACTGTGAAGGAGGTGCGGGCACGCGTGGAGAGGCAGAGCGCCAGCGTGCGGAAAGTGGAAGCCAAACAAGAGGACATGCTGAGGAAAAACAAATTCCGGGTCGTAATCTATCAGGTAACCGCGAGCCTAATTTCTTGTAGCACTGTCATTGTGCCACCTCCTTGGCAGCCGCTGGTAGGCATCGGTTAATAAACCAAAAGACGCGGTCTATCCAACATGAGAGTTATTTCATGCTTTCTTTAACATTGAGTTGTGCTCCTCAGTGCCTTTCAGCATGAACCTACTGACGGCAGCAGACGCGGTCTATTATTAGTGTTGGTAGGTTTCTGAGCCCGTCGTGTAAGATTAACTGCAGATCAGCAAGGACTATTTGTTGCCTATCTGAAAGGTAATATGAGGCAGGCCCTGTAAATCTTGTCATATAAACCATGCCTGACATTCATCCCTGTTATTTTTTTCACTGTATTAGGTAGAAGTCCAAATAGCAAAAGTGTTTGCAGGCTCCCTGGAACACAGACTTTCTTCTAGCACTGATTTCAAAACATATGGTTGATTTAACTTGCAGCATTACCCAGGCTTTCGCACTGCTGACAAATTGGGGCTTTTTTCATTGTCTCAGTCTATAGCAGTATATGCCCAAACTAAAGCTCAGGCCCACAAACCCTTCATGACAGCAAATAGTACCTTGCATGCTCTACTTTGGAAATGGTTTAACCCAGCACTGTTCTTCCAATCATATTGGGCAAGCACATCATACATTTTTGTTCATTGAACTCATTGCAGGATGTTCATTGTTCTTATAAATTATTGTGTTTGAACAGAACTTTCATGAAATGGCATGCTCTTGCCTACATAGTCGGTGAAGGCAGTTCATGGGGTCTGTCACTTGCTAGCGAAAGCTGTGAAACCTGTATGTTTAATGGCCTGATCCTGCCATTTGCTGAAACTTGCCAGTTCCTCAAGTCACTAGAAAGTAAGAGTGTTTAATCTTTTGCCAGAAGCATAGTTTCTCCTTCACGCCAGCGAGTCCCCAAAGCTTCTTTCAAATGAGTTGTATTCATCATTAGGCATTCTTGAAAACACCAGCCCTCGTGAGTAACACAATGCGCCCCCATTGCCCAGCCTTACACCCTGGTTCTTGCATCTGTTTGTACATAAATAACGTTACGTGCAATGAATGGAGCTGTGTGTTTCACTGAGTATATTCACCGTTGTATACAGCTGACAAATTCTTATGCATAATCTAGCTTTCTTAACTACTTCATTTTCTACTACTGGGAAGAAATAGCTAAAAAAAAATAAACAAAAGCTGAGGGTAGGTAGGAAATGTTACCTCTTTAATGTTATGTTACTACCATGTGCAGCCAAATTGTGCCTCCCAGATTTTCTGACTGAATGACTTACTATGGCTGTTCAGGCAAAAGCATTGCACAATTTGGCCTATTATTGCAATTATTGCAAGCTGTACCATCATGATGGAATAGAAAACAAGCACTTTTCCTTTTTCCTTGCAGATCATTTCCCAACTAAAGCTAATAAATATCTCTGACTCCCCTAGTTAATGGCATAATGCCATTTCATTGATGGACCTTTACCATAATGTTTGCAGCAGAATCAATGCTTTGAAAATGTTTGTTCTTAAAACAGTATTCATTATGTAATGTAAATTTTTCTCCTAGCAGGACATGAGTTGTCATTTATTTTAAAATGTAGTAAAATATTGTGGAAATGGATTTACACACAGCTATAAAGAACAGCTGTTGCTATTTTCAGATATTTCATACAAAAGGTAGCTCTCACAATGCGTACCTTCTCTAAGAATCACCTTCAGTAGGAGTTTCTGAACTCTCTGCTAGTTTTCCCAGACAAGAATGACCTGCACCCTGTTCCATATGTTTAATTCTTAGGCGGTACTTTTCAGGAAGGGAAGCAGCATTTTTGATTGCTGTCTTTCTAGTTTCCTCTTCCTATGGTAGTTGAGACCTGCCAGCCTTTTGTAAGGTAGATTGAAGAACCTTTTCCCTCGTGCACGGAAGAGGAACAGATATGCTGATCCTCTAGGATCCGACATTTAACACTTTTCGGGAGGAGAACTGCATTGCTCCGCAAAAACTGGAACACGCTAGGTAGCCAAGAGTGTGCTGAAGCTTTAAGGCACAGGTACACTCGTGAAGTCTCTTTCACACAAGTGCAGTGATTTTCACACGGTTGATTTACACCAGTGTAGGCATACTGCTGGAGTGCCAAGACCTGAATGACTGAAGCTTGGCTACGATGAGTGGGAGTCTGTTAATAGCTACAGAATCAGCGTATTCCCTTCACTATATTTTACAAACGGGTATAACCAAGTTGTTTACTTGGTGGTTGTGAGTGACAGCTCATCTGTAGTGAGATTTTTTTCTGATGAACCATTTGGGACATTGTGATGGAGTCAATGACCTGTGTGTAGCTGGAGTTGAATGCCTACGTGGGTGAGCGCACATGGGGTTTAGTTTCAACTTTTGCCAGAACATTGGCATATGAGGAAAAGGGAAACGCCAATTAAATCCTAAAGATTTTCTTTCAAGTGGATAGCTTTGAACTCATCATTGATAGAAGGAGTAGGTAGGTTGAAAAGGATCATTGGCTGGAGGAGATTGTCCCAAGAGACCTCAGCCATGATGAACAGAGTTGGCAATATCCTTGCATTAAAAAGAGACAAAGTGATCATCCATAAGCATAATGATTAGGGAAATTAAGAGCATTCATTTTTAAAAGTCCATGTGGTTGAGGAAGAGGTTTGGTAGCGGGCAGCTCTCCTCCCCAGGCTGACTGCATGATTAAAAATGCCAGGTTACTTCAGAGTTTCTAGTGAGGTCTTTGACCCTGGAGTGCTATGTGCCTAAGGGTATAGTAGGGAATGCAAAGTACATTACAGGTTGTGCAGGTCACTGTTCACTTCTGTTCAGGTTAGGCTGAATAACCAGCTGTGTGAGCCATCATTTCTCTGCAGTCAAAGAGCATCTAACAATTGAACTCATTTTGGCTAAATTATTCAGAAATTAAAGGGGATTTTTTTTTTTTTTTTTTTAATCCTGAATGAACTTGGTTCATTTGCTTTTCTGCATGTTCTGCAAGTCCCTCTTTGAATGTGAGCATACAGGCACCAGAAAGTCTATGTTACATTTACTGGGCTCTTTTCTATTATTATTTTACATAAGCACCATAAACAAGTAACAGCTTCCTATGAAGGGACACAAGCATTTGTTTCACTCACTGCTGTCTGACATTTAAAATTAGTGGACGGCCACAGTGGGCATGTCAGAAACCAAGTAAGGTTATGGCTTGACTGGCCTACACAGACATGTTGTAACTGATTTGTTTGCCCTGCAATTGCTCCACCACACACATAGAGAGAGACTAGCAGAAGCAGCTTTGCGTATGCCACTCATATTATGCATAAATAAATTAAAATATAAGTGACTTTTCCTGGCCACTGTCCTTCTGTAGCATAATGGACAGTAAAAATGGTGAGATCAAGATGGGGAAAATAATCTGAAAATCTGAAGTGGTAGCACTTCCATCCAATGTGGCAGTAAAAGTCAGCATGTCACAAGCTCAAAGAGATGAGGTTGCAAACATGGACTCTGAAAGACTTAGTGCATGAACTCACCATCCATTGGCACAGAATTTTACTTACAGCTATTCTGAGAAAACCCTGTGAGAGTAACTGTGACATGAAGGCAGCAAATATAACACTTGTATTTAAAAAAAGACAGAGGAAACAATCTGAATCATTGCCATTCATCCGATATCATTTGGGCATAAGAATGGCAGGCTCAGAAGGTGCTCTGCAGAACAGAATCGTTAGCACCATAGAGTTAAATAGCTCGCCAAGAGCAGATTGTGCTAGGTAACTCATATTTGATCATTTTCCTGTTTCACAGAAATATGAGAGGTATTATCCCTTCTCATATTTATATACCTGATATCTTACCTCATAACAGATAATCTGGAAAAACAACAGATGACAGTGGATTGTGTTGAAATGATGGATTTCTAAAAGGGTTTGCTTCTAAGACTGACTTTGTCAACTGTTTAATATTTTATTAAGGATCTTGGCACAGAAAAAGGTGTGGATACTAATAAATATGCTCAAAACGAGGAGCTGTCAGTCCAGAGAAAGAAATATAGACAAGAAACCCGATC